AAACAAAGCAGACACAGACTTCAACGGATAGTTAGGACTGCAGAAAAAAATACTGCAATCAGCAAGTTTTCCATTGAGGACCTGTATATACTGCATGAGCCAGAAAGAGAGCTATGAAAATATCTAAAGACCCCTCACATCCTGGACAAAAACTGTTTCAACCTCTTCCCTTACATTATAGGATATTGCTAAACAACTAATTCCCACAACACTGTCTTATGCCCTAGGACAGGGGTGTCAAACTGCTGGCCCATGGGTTGGATGCATCATAGCGATACCGCACCCACCCCATTGCCGGCAATGGCTAAAAAGTCACGATATGTCACAACATGTCACGTGATGTTGCGAGTTTGACATCCCTGCCCTAGGATGTCAAACTATCTAGTAGGGTTGTATTACCTATTATCCTTCTCATATTATCATCTTTCCTATTACCTATTTCCTTAGCTTCTTATGACTATAACTTTGTTGTTTGTATCTCATGATTTATATTGATTGCTTTTATTAGTACCCTATTATGATTTATGTTGATTATTTAGTATCCTGTGACTATCACTAAGTGTTGTATCTTATGATTTATGATGATTGTATGATTATGATCATGATTTATCTCTTGTTGCTTATATGTATGCTGAGAGCTTATGCACTGGAGACAAATTCCTTGTGTCCAATCACACTTCGCCAATAAAGAATTCTATTCTATTCAATCTAGAGTAATGAGACCACAGAAATGATCCATTCTAAACATCAGCATTGCTTTGAGAGAAGCACAGAAGATGAGCCAAGTCAATCCAGGGTCTATAAATGAACTATAGCTATACCCGAAATACTGAAAAACTAAAATGCTCCACTTGTTTTTACTACTGATCTACAGATTGACAATATGTATCTTATTATATGGAATGCTGAACCATTTTATTTAGTGAAAGTTGAAAGACCGAAATATAGTCTTTCTTTGAAGGTGAATGCAAAAAATATATCCTGCAGATGGAAATCTGGCTTATTACACGTTATATAATGTGTAATGGTACAATTGTTCCTGGCTTTTGGAAGTTGTTGTCAGTCAAAGCTAAAAATGCATTTTTTTCAAAGGCTTGTCAAAGGACTTTATCATTAAGTTGATGCACTGTTTGCATTTTTAATATAGTCCAAAACTCTCCTGTAGTTAAGATTTCACAATCAATATAGACAGTTTGGATAGGGGACATAGATGTACCATAACCAGAATAATCACACAAAGAACTGAGATAATATTTTCCACAATGAAAAATGAATAGAGAAAAAGGGAAATGCCCATCCAAAGTTAAAGGAAATAAGATCAGAACTTTTAAAAATTAATAGCATACACAATCCTTGTAGTGAAAATCTGACTTAAATGTAAATTAAACCTGATCACTTTCACTACTCAAGAGATTTCCACTGACTTCCATACAGCAAAACTGAAAGTGATTCGCAACTGTTCTTATGTTAGAAATGAAGTAGTAAAAAACCCACAAAGAATTCAAATTAAAATCCAGCAAAGGGTTAGAATAAATCAGCATTCAATCAGTCAATTAACAGTTAAAGATAAAAGTCAAAATGAAAAAAGAAAGTTCAAGAACTGCAGTTAAAAACTGAGGCATACTTCGAAAGAAAAACAGCTGAAAGGAAAAGATGGAGATCCAACTGTCCGATTGCTCCTACCGAAAATTGCAACCATCGAAATTCCTCTTCCCAGGTAGGTCCACGATCACCCAAGGATTATCTTGGGTCATTCCTAGTTGCTTTGGTGGGGAGAGCGCCACCAAAGCTGGCTCTTTGGCAGCAAAATCAGCTGTTTGTTGGCAGAAGGAAAAAATCGCCCTCCAGCTCAGTGCACCATTTTCAGAGAAGTCCAGTCAAATCTGATTGAATGGCTAACAGGGCTATGGTTTACCACAGTTTTTAACTGACTGCTTTAATTACATAACTATATTGATTTTTTTCTTCAATTTAAAATTTAAATCCAGTAAAGAACTGGAAAAGAGGTTTGGAGGCTAAAACCTATAAACAATGGTTAAAGGAATGAGTATGAATAGCTTAAAGGAAAAAAAAGAATAAGGGGAGAGCTGATAGCCATCTTCCAATACTTGAAGCTGCCTGTAAAATATAATTCTAAACAATGGCTCTATATGAGAGCCAGGTTGGTATAGTGGTTAAGGAATCAGGCTAGAAACTGAATTATAGTTCTGCCTTAAATCAGCTGAACAATCTTGGGCCAGCAGCTCTCTCTCAGCACTAGAAAGGAGGCAATGACAAACCACTTTTGAAAAATCTTGTCAAGAAAACTACCGTACTGATTAGTCCAAGCAGTTGCCAGGAATTTAAAAGGGGACATGAGGAGGAAAGGTCTTGAAAGGATCAAAAAGAGGGGAGGACTCTATATAATGAAAATAATGTACCTTTCACAAAGTAACATGTTGATGGGTTCTAAATCTTCAATCTATACACGAAAAGTTTGTTCAGCAAAGGTTAATAATTTGGTTGCTATGGTAACCTGTAACTTCACCATGCACTATGCAAAGAGGAGAATTAAATGATTCATAAAGGTTTTCTTGTCAAACTGAAGCCCATAAAATCTCCAATCACAAGAGTCTAGCTTTTTACACTTCAGAAAGTTTACTATCCCACCAGTAACCAGAGGTGAACTGTTCATGAATGTAAAAATACTAAACAGCCTGGCACAGAATGCTCTATTTACTTATTTAGATGTATGCCCTGCTCAACCATTTCACATCACTGTGTGTAGGAGTTTCATTTTACAAATCGCAATTTTGTTGTTTGATTTTAAAGAAAAAACAGCTTAGCTGGAAGGGATGGAAGGACAAAAGGGAACATTAACTGCAAAAGCAAGAACAGAGAGTACTAAGTCATTCAAGAGTTGAGTTCTAATTTATAATAATTTATTTATAACTTTACCAGCATTACACAGTAAAATCTTATTCAATCCTTTTTAAAAAGGGCAACAAATATCCTTTAGATCCAAATATTATATTTGTAATTTTTAATCCTCTAATTGACTGAATACAAGCCTTTATATTTCTGGAATAAGATACAGTTTTACTGTATTATGGATAGGAGTTGAAATCCAATACTTGAGGCATGAAGTTGGAGAAAGTTAATGTAAGCATTTGATGGGAGTGGAGGCAAAGAACACTTAATTTTTCTGTTCACCTCTGACTTTTCTTTATCATTTTTTGAGTGGGTCTTCCCAGAAAAAAGAATTACTTATTCAAACAGTTCTGCAAAATTTTCATTGCTAACACATACACAAATACATAAGCTCTTTCCATAATATGTAACTAATATTAATCTGGACAATAGGAGTTGCAATACATTTGGTATACATGGTTCTGAGTTACTAATTTGATACATTTTTCTGAGTGTCTATCTCTATTCTGCATTAACCTTTTCACTGAAACTGATACAATACTGACTTGTAAGGTAATTTCTAAATTACAAATCCTAACTTCCAGAGAAGTATGTGATCATGTTTGGGATAAAAGTATTGTTGTAGCATATTGGTATGACTAAGCCAAGTAATATTATAATATTAAACAGTATTACGTGAAAACTGTGATTGATCAAAGCCATGTTGGGCAGCAGAAGTTAAGCTATGGGCCCACCAGGTGATAACCATAAAATATGCAAGACTGTAACATGCAATCCAGGAAAAAAAGACTTTACTATATGATATTAATAGATGAGTAGAAACAAGAGAATATGGAAAATACTACTGGGCCATTTAGAGTTGCAAAAATGAATGAGAATAAGTAAGTATTTCCTTAGAAAAAGCTCTGTTTCAAATAAATGATTTATGCATAAATCTATTCATGCATATATATGGATAAAAAAACTGAATGGATTTAATTTGATTGCTTAGGAAAAAAGACAGCGAATATTAGTGAAGCATAGAAAGTGATAAGTTCTGAGTATGAAACAGTCAAGAGTGAATCTTGGGAAATATAGATATTTTAATAATGTAAGAAATAAGTGTGAAAATAAAGCTACTTCAGGAAGAGAAAGCAATAATGAAAAGGTATTAGAAAACAGATTACCTTCCCAACTGAATAAATAGAAAGTGGACATTAAGAAAGGGAAGCCTTTGTGGCGTAGTGGTTGGAATGCAGTATTGCAGGCCAACTCTGCCCATTGCCAGGAGTTTGATCCTGACTGGCTCAAGGTTGACTCAGCCTTCCATCCTTCCGCGGTCGGTAAAATGAGGACTCAGATTGTGGGGGGCAATATGTTGACATTTGCAAATGTCTCTTATTACTCAGAAAATGCTATAAAGCACTGTCGAGAGGTGTATAAGTCTACGTACTACTGCTAATGTTTAAGTCTAAGTATTATTGCAGTTTATAAGTCTAAGTACTATAGCTATTGCTAATATAAAAGCTTCCTGGAAAGGAGGGAAAAGAATTATATCACTAAGTGCCATTGGAGTATAGAGGAGCTTGGGGAAATGTAAGTAGCTATGGTTGGGGGAAAAAAATAAGAGCAGTCATCATCATTCCTAATGATGGAGATGGTAAAAATAACATTGCTTACCTGAAAGGTAACAGCAAAATGAGGGTGTAGTTATACATGTACCCATGGATAGGAAAATCTACTACTAAAAATCTTATTATTGTTTTTATGCAATGTTCTTATTATTAATGTAAATAACCAAAGCATCCTGAATTATCAAAATGGCAACTAGAAGTACTGGAAAGGTGTCCAACCGAAAGAACTTTGGGTTGGACACATTTACAGTGCTTCTAGTTGGTATATAGATAATTAGGAACTTTGGTTCCTTTGAATTTTCTGAACAGATCCCACTGCATGTTTTTAGCACCTGGAAAGAGAAATCTGAGCTTGCCCCTTTCCTGGTATGGCAACATGTCTCTGCAATTTCCTTCCTGACGAATTGTGCTCTATGCTATAAACTGGCATAGAATATATATGATAGGACCATAATTCATTCTACTTTCATAGATTACCGTATTCATGTCCAAAGTTTCATCAATCATCTTTTGGAAATTGGAGAAATCACAGTTTAGCTCTTTAAGAGGTTTTGTGAATACCGTATCTAGTAGCATATTGCAGTTTCCTGCCAAAAAATAAAACACACAGAAAAGAATCACCAATAAGCAAATTGACTGACAATCTTATTTGAATTTATTAGACATGTTTAAATAGGTTAGCAGCTGTATAGCAACTTACTAAATAGTAATTTGAGAATCAGTTTGGTGCAGTGATTAAGGCTCCAGGCTAGAACTAGGAGACTATGAGTTTTAGCCTTGCCTCAGGTTTGAAGCCAGTTGGGTAATTTTGGAAAAAAATATAGTAATTTACAAAAGTATACATTTAACTATATGGTCAATACTAGAGAGAATTTTAACATGTTCATGGCTCTCCACAGTCTTCCCCTTTTCATAAGGAATCCTGAATCAAATCAATCCATTTCTAACATGAGAACAGTTAGACTCTTTAATCCAGTCATTTGGAATGTATGATTGATAGATAGATAGATAGAATGAAAAAATGAATTAAATTAAATTTGTTTGGACTGCTTTCATTGTATCTTGAATAGAAAGGCTAAAAAACTTCAAATTATTTTTTAAATTATTATTGCTTAAGGAGTCTACTTCACAATTCTGAACAAAACCTAATTTGTTCATAATTTGTTCCCATAATGTAGCACAATATTGTAAATTACTTGCATGCCATTAATGGAACAGGTGCAAATCCTGACTTTTGAGTAACTCTGGAAAATATTATTCTGCCTCCCAGATAATAGTCCAACAGAGAAAGGATAACTCCTATTCAGGTGAGAAGCTGGGTCATAAAGATTTTTTCTTTCTCTGCCTTTAGAGGGAAACTCTCTTTTACTATTATTTATGACAGCAGTAACAGAAGCCACAGAAAGAGAGTTAGTATAGTAATATTTCCTAGGTTTATAGTACTCCCTGCAAAACCAATGGTTGCATTCATGAAGCAATCTGTCAATCTTACAATGTCAGAAAAATATGGAATGGTGAGCCCAAGTGAGCTCAATTTGACTCCTAATGGATTCCTGAACACGTGTGTGTAACATTATTATCCATGTAGCTATAAGATGGGGAGGCAGGAATCTTTCAACTCCAAAGAGGTGCAAAAAGCTCTTTTGTACCATTTATTTCGATACCAAGTACATGATGGAGTATATACTCTCCCTGGCATTCTCATGTCTTCAAGGTTAGTTCCTAAAGAAGCTGCCTCTTTTACTTGCACCAAATCAGATTTCCTAATAGGAATGTACAGACAAGTATTTGAGGTCCTTCCATATGTGGCCAGACTCTCAATACAAACAACACAAGCTGTATAAGTAAGGGAGGTAACCTTTGCAGAATTATGTAATAACTGTTATCTAGATAAAGGGGCTGAAACATTCTTTAAGTCCTGGGAAAAACAGCTCAAGCAAATGCTTCTCTGATTCTGTCTGGTCTATTTAATAATAATAATAATAATAATAAAGTTGGAAGGGACCTTGGAGGTCATCTGGTCCAACCCCCTGCTCAGGCAGGAAACCCTATACCATTTCAGACAAATGGCCGTCTAGTCTCTTCTTAAAAACTTCCAGTGTTGGAGCATTCACTACCTCTGGAGGCAGGTTGTTCCACTGGTTAATTGTTCTGTCAGGAAGTTTCTCCTTAGTTCTAGGTTGCTTCTCTCCTTGATTAGTTTCCATCCGTTGCTTCTTGTCCTGCCTTCAGGCGCCTTGGAAAGGTAGTATGGCTGATATAAACTGAGCTATTAACATCAGTATATTATATCCTTTCTCCATCAATTTTATAAGGAAATTTCTATTTCTGTTCAATCTTAAGAGTATCTCTAATGTTGTAAAATAAATACTGTTTGCCTGGATTAAACCCACTTTGCCAATTACTAATATAACCACCTAAAATCAATCATATAAATGGTGTAGTGTATACTACTAGCAGTGTATACTACTGTAAGATTTGCAGAGGCACAAAGAAAAATTAAGAGAACAAAATCCATGAGAGAAACTTTTAAAATTATTCAGTAAATAAGTAATATACAGGGTATATTCAGTGGCTACAGAATTTTGACTTGAGCAAAAAGATAAATATAACAGAGCCCCTTGAAGAAAGTATGACTGATTGGCTGACATCTTCAACTAATATACTTTCACACTATAAATTTCTTTTCCAGATCCTATTTTTAGAAGCCAACACATTTCTGGTTTTACGATTTCAAATGCAATTTGCTTCATTGGGGTATAATTATGTTTTTTTTAAAAAACTTCAAATTTGTAGTAGCAGTCAGGCAGCAAACATGTTATAAAGGTTTTAACAGATAACAAATCTGGCATTTTTCATGCTGCCAAATTAAAGATCTTTACAAAAATGCCATTTAATTTTCTCAGCTACAGTACTGGCATATTTAAATCAAATGGGCTATTTTTGTAGAAGTTAGAAGGTTCACCTTTTGTTCACTTAATGAACAGTCTGATCTTTAGATTTGCCATTTGATGTCAGTTGCAAATTGACATTTATTATACTGAAAGCGAACAGCCTGATCATTCAGTTCAAGCTGTTACAGAAATGTCCAAAAATGTCCAAAAGATTAGAGACTATAGTGCACTTGGATTATTCATACAATAAAGCAACAGCTCTTGTACACGGCCTCTTTAAAAATCAATTTGTTTTCATTCAACTTAATAGCCAGGAATTTCCATCAGATTCTGATTCATTCCTGGATGAAGTTATTGTATTTTTGCCACATCCTATAGACATTGAATGTTATTAAGCCTTTGTTTAAACATTATCAATGAATTTGAGTAATCTGTTTTCTTTTTGATATCCCACAACAATCAATTCCAAAATATACTCAGGGTTCCCTTGGATAATAGAATATTCATCATGAAAGTTTCCCTTTCATACTATAAATATTTGGATCCTATCCACATGTACAGATTTCAACTCCCAGAGTTGTCAACAATGGCCATGATGGCTGGGGAGTTCTACAAGTTGAGATCTATGCACCTAGATAGTGTTAAATTTGGGGAAGATTTTTCCAGAGACAGAATGTCAGTTGTCTCTAGCCAGAAACTACTTTGCCCATGTAGATCTGATCCCTTGGATCACTGAGCAGAGTCAGGAGTCAAAGAGGTGACTCTTTAGATAGCATTCTTATCAGTGGTGGGATTCAGCTGGTTCGCGCCACTTTGGCAGAACTGATAGCTAATTTTTTGTTGCCCAGACCCAGAATGGACTTCTGGAAGCAGCATCCACACACAAAACCAGTTGTTCACATATTTGAATCCCACCACTGATTCTTATATGTCTAACTGTATAACACAGTAGGTTCTAGTCCTTTTGACGGAGGGAGGGGGGGTAATTTGCAGAAGACTATGCCACTTCTTAAGAGCTGCTAACAATATGGCTTGTTTATTGGATGGACAAGCTGGAAATTTGAGATGTTCTGCCAAGATTTTTAGTCTCATACTCTTAGTCACAAACATGTTTCTACTTTCACAACTACCTTAGATCTGGTCCCTATGTATAACTTAATCAGTCAGGGCTTCATTGGCTACTCCTCTATGAACAGGAGTCTATCTATATCAGTCCCTTCAAGATTGATCATTTTAGTATAACAAATATGGCTGGTTCTTTGTGGACAATATGCTATATAAAGGTCTCTAGACAAATAGTGTGAGCACTACATTTTAGAATGGGAATGGAATAGACTAGACTAGACTAGACTAGACTAGACTAGACTAGACTAGACTAGACTAGACTAGAATAGAATAGAATAGAATAGAATAGAACTTTGGAGGCCTTCTAGTCCAGCCCCCTGCTCAAGCAGGAGAACCTATACCATCTCAGATAAGTGACTGTCCAGTCTCTTCTTAAAAATCTCCAGTGATGGAGCGCCCATGATTTCTGAAGGCAAGCTGTTCCACTGGTTAATTGTCCTCACTGTTAGGAAGTTTCTCCTTAATTCCAGGTTGCTTCTCTCTTTGGTCAGTTTTCAACCATTGTTTCTTGTCTTGCCCTCTGGTGCTTTGGAGAATAGTTTGACATCCTCTTCTTTGTGGCAGCCCCTCATATACTGGAATACTGCTATCATGTCAACCCTGTTTCTTCTTTTCTTTAGACTAACCAAAGCCAAGTCCTATAGCCGTTCTTCATATGTTTTAGTCTCCAGGCCCTTGATCATTTTAATTGCTCTTCTCTGAACTTTTTCCAAGGTCTGAACATCTTTCTTGTAGTATGGTGACCAAAATTGGTTGCAGAACAAAAGATAACTAATGCTTGTTATAATCAACCAAGGAATGATATATTTTTTGGCTTCATCTTATTCGTAAGTAAACATATCAATTTATATCTTACTTCCCCCCCCCCATTTCTATTTATCTTTCCTTGTTAACATTTGACTAATCCTGAGTTACAAATATTTCTAAAGATTAGCTCCCAAACCTGCTTTGTTATTATTCTAAAATTCTGTTTTTTATTTAGCAAAATAAATTTCTCTGTCTTCCTCTCTTTCTATTACCACAATTCGTAGAAGCATGCCAAGCCACATAGTGGCTGTTATCACACAAACTGAATTCTTTTTATTCAGCATATGAAAAACTTACTTTTTTAAATGAAAAACTCTTAATAATTTGGAAAAAAGGCATACTTAACACAACTTTGAGAAAGATGTAGTTATGGGTTCACTGGACATACAGATAACTTCATATGCATATGTAAATAAGTTCACGTAATAATAAGTCATGACTGACACAAAAGTATAGCTAATCCTTTTTCATTTTAAACAAACCTGGTTATATCCAAGCATTCCTTACTTCAGAAGTGAAGTGAGCTATCTTGAATAATTATGCTCTGAATAAAAAATAACCTAGCCAGAATTTTTTTGCTTATTGCTCAGTTTAGAAATTTCTAATTGCTGAACTGTTTCACTGCATCAATTAGCATATTTTATTTGCCATTTTCTCTATTGATCATGATGTTTTTAAATTGTTATTGGTTCAGTTCTTTGGTTGTTTTATACTTGAGAGATTGAGGCTATAGCCCTAATAACAAAATGACTGGTTTCCAGTCAATTCAATAATCAGAATTGTTTTTTTTCCATTTTGCCTTCACTAATTGTTTTCTTCTTATATGAAAATGAACAAAGGAATACAAATATCAGATGATAAGGCACTCCAAACCACAATGCTTAGCTTTTACACATGTATGTATCACTAACACTGGCAGTGAAAAAATTCTACTAATGCTGTAAAAATCCTTTTGGCAGGTGAATAGAGATTGTCTTTTGAGCTTACGAACTGGGCACACAATATTTAAAAAATATATATATTCTAAATATTTAAATTTCTATTTCTACAAATTTCTAGAAGTAAAATCTCTACATTTTTCTAAAATTTAGAAAATTTCTAAAGATATTTAGAAAATAAGAAAAAAAAATTACCATTCTTTTTTTCCAGTGCCTGTATCACATTAGGTATCTGATTAATTGCCTGATACATTTTGTAACAGTCCTGCAGAGTAGCTTTCTTCTGAAATTTTTTTCCTATTCGACTGAAGTCTGGGAAGCGGCGGAGGATATCTTCTTGAAGAATTTGTCTTACTTCTCCATCTTCCATGAAGGCCCCCACCATATCTAGCCTAAGTGTAAGATAAGTTTAAAATAGACAGGAAAAAAAAGTTTAGCATATGGGACTTTCATGATTTTGAAAATCATGACACATTTCCAAATTATCAGAGCTCCAGGCTGGGAATAATTGTTCTAAGATGTCAATGACCATAACTATAAATCATTTCACCATCAGAAATACTTTTCTGTATAAATTTTATTAAGACTTTAAAAAGAAGATAAAAACTAACAAAAACTAATACAAAGTAAAGAAAAAAAGAAAGGGAAAAGAAGAAAAACAAAAAAGGGTAAAAAGAAAAGATAAGAAGAAAGAGGCTTCCAATTTCCTTTGCAGCAAATACAAGTATAACTTAGGTTTTTAGTAAATTTGTTTTTCTTTTTTTTTAATATATTTTACCTACTCATGTAGAACAATATATTTTGTGGAGTTAGGGATTTTAATATATGTTTGCTTATATCTGAATATTATCCTGGGATTCGGTTTGGGAAGTCCAGGGTGGGGGGGTGGGGGGTTTTTTTTTTCTTTGTTCTTCAAATAGCATTGTGAAATTTTTGTGATGTTTTTTTTTATGTTGAAAATAATAAAATTTTATATTGAAGAAAATTATCTTACTCTATAGTTACAAAATAGGCTCTTTTTCTATTATCTAATGTTTTCCCATCATCAAAACCATAAATCAAAAGGTTTTTTTTTCTATTTCATGCAAAAAGTGTATAAGAAGTGGTCCCCAACCTTTCTGGCTTGGTGGCCCGGCAGGGGGGGAGGGGGAGAGGAGATAGTTCCATGTGATGGTAGGCAGGCATGCGCAAGTGCACGCACTTCCACTTGTGCAAGTGGTGGGCACACACCACTCACATGAATGGGGCTTCATGCACGAGCGGCCATCACTTGCACGAAAGGAGTTTTGCACACGAGCTCAAGCGGCAGCCGCGTACACAAGGGGAGCTTCGTGCACGTGCTTGCCCCCCTGCTTGCGCAGCCCAGTTCTGAACAAGCCATAGCTCAGGGGTTGTCTTTTCTCTAATCAAAGCAGTTAATTTAGCCATCTCAGGAAATTCCATCATCTTCACCATTCCTCCACTGTGGACAGTATCAAACCCTTTCCATTTTTAAGCATATCATAATCTTGCTGCAGTTATATATAAAAATAAAAATCCGTGACTTTTTTCCAGTTGTTTATCCATCATTTCTAAAATTAAATCCTCTGGTTTCAATTGTACATTAGTGTTTAAAATCTTCTGAATTAGTACATGCATTTGTATCCCAAATTTTCTGGCTTTTTCATGTCCACTAAATATGATAAAGTGTCCCCTCATATTATTTCAAGAGAAGTTTAAAGACAAAGAAAAAAAATCCTACCAAATATTCAGCTACAGAAATTCCAAGATCATACTCTAGTAACAATAATCATAATCATAATGAATTTACTAAATGTATATGCTGCCCAACCCCCAGTAATTTGAATAGATTATAACATTTTCCAACTTACATTTTACATATTCTCTAATTATAAAGAAATTATAATCAATTAATTATCATTTTCAGGATATTTTCTTTAATTATTGCATTTTAGCACCAAAAACAAGCACTTAAAAGGAGCCAAACTAGAATTAAAATGTTAAATCAATAATTAAAAATGCAAAAATAATTCACAGCAAAAGAGAACTTTCAGCATCTATGAAACAAAAGTCATGTTGCAGGAATTGTGTATGTCTGCTTTAATGAAACAAGACTAGGGATGACATGATAACAGTGTTCCAATATCTAAGGGTCTGTCACAAAGAAGAGGGAGTCAACCTATTCCCCAAAGCACCTGAAGGCAGGACAAGAAGCAATGGGTGGAAACTAATCAGGAAGAGAAGCAACCTAGAAATAAGGAGAAATTTCCTGACAGAACAATTAATCAGTGGAATGGCTTGCCTGCAGAAGTTGTGGATGCTCCAACACTGGAGGTTTTTAAGAAGAGATTGGACAACATTTGTCTGCAATGGTATAGAGTCTCCTGTTTGATTGGGGTCCCTTCCAACTTTGTTATTCTGTTATTGCTGCTCTATGATGCATTGTTTTGCCCAGTTAAAGGTCATGATAACCAGAGTTTAAGTAATATAGTTTTTGGATTGCCTTTCAGGTGAATTTAATTCATATGATTGAGGAGAAAAAGGCTGATAGCAATCTTTGCTAAAAATCAGTTAAGCAAAGACAATTCCAAGGTAAACTGTTAAACAGTGGTAAACTGGTTGTCACTGCTAACCATCTGCAACTGTAGACAGATAGTTTTGGGTCTTCTGATAGAATTATTCAGACTTATTCTTTTGATTATAAAAATAATCCAAAAATAGGAACATTTCAAACAAATATTAGACTGGAAAGGGTACATAATGATGATGATGATGATGATGATGATGATGATGATGATGATGATGATGATGATGATGATGATGATGATGATGATGATAATAATAATAATAATAATAATAATAATAATAATAATAATAATAATAATAATAATAATAATAATAATAATAATAATAATAATAATAAAAAAAGTTGGAAGGGACCTTGGAGGTCATCTAGTCCAACCCCCTGCTCGGGCAGGAAACCCTACACCATTTCGGACAAATGGCTGTCCAGTCTCTTCTCAGCATCTTTTTTACATCGTGGTGACCAAACTGGATGCAGTATTCCAAGTGTGGCCTTACCAAGGCATTGTAAAGTGGTATTAATACTTCACGTGATCTTGATTCTATCCCTCTGTTAATGCAGCCCAGCACAGAGTTGGCTTTTTTGGCAGATGCAGCACACTGCTGGCTCATATTTAAGTGATTGTCCACTAGGACTCCGAGGTCCCTCTCACAGTTACTACTATTGAGCAAGGTACCCCCTATATGATACCTGTACATTTTATTTTTCTTGCCTAAATGTAGAACCTTGCTTTTTTCACCACTGAATTTCATTTTGTTAGATAGCGCCCAGTGTTCAAGTCTGTCCAGGTCCTCCTGTATCTTAAGCCTGTCTTCTGGGTGTTGGCTATTCCTGCCAGCTTGGTATCATCCACAAATTTGATGAGTTCCCCATCTATCCCCTCATCCAAATCGTTGATGAAGATTTATGAATATATCAAACTATTTTACACAGATACTAGCACTTCTAGCCAGGATTGCCTATTTTTACCATAAGTTGCCATACATTTCAAAGTTTATTACTCAAAATGTCAGGGATTGAAGCCAAAACTTTTCATATGCAAAGCACTGAATTAACTTCTAAAGCAACCTTTTTGTGGGCAATGCATTAACAATATTTAGCTAACTAATCTAATGCAGGGCTTCAATAATATTGCACTGGAGTGATGCTACTGCTTTCATGTTTAATTTAAACAGATACATTATAATTCTTTTCTATTTGCCAAATGGAGGCATATAATGGGACAAATGATGACATATGATTAATAGATATTCAATAGCAATGACTCTCATCCTCACTAGTAGTATTCTATTTCTAGCCAAAAAATGGGGGGAGTGTTCATGACCATCAAGCTCTCCACAGTAGAACAACATGTTACTGTGTATTACTGATTCATTTAGGTCACTAAAGAGACAGAACATTTATTCACAATATGGGTCAACAATAACTAGTAGAGCCTTAAGGCAAGTCAAATTCTTCTTGTTTGGGAGAGAGCCTCAGGCACCCAGAGAATAGAGATGAATAGGAACTGTATTAGTCACTAGAAAAATCCAGCTTATGACTTTATAGATAGTCTTTGGTTAACTATGGTAATTGGGACAGGAATTTTCATTGCTAAATAATGCAGTTGTAAAGTGTTAATCATGCGATCACATCGCTGGTGATCGCAATATCAGTACTCCCTGATGTCATTAAGCAAGGATCATGGGTCATTAAGCAAGTCCCAAGTGGTTTGCAACCAGACTAGCAGGTAGGTAAGATGTGACATGAGCAAAGTAGAGTAGCTGTTGTTGAGCAGGGAAAGATGTGCAGAGGGCTCATGAAAAGTATTGCGGCTGGGTGTGGCTGTTGTGGTGGGGAGGGGGGAGATGCACAAGTGACCCATGAGGCGTGGCATGAGTGCGTCAGTGGCTGCTGCCAGGCAGAGAGGATATGTCGGTAGCTGGCAAAGTGCAGAGTGCACACAGGGGGGTGGCTGCTGAGCAGGAAGAGTGCAAACACCTTACTGAAATGACTTCGAGACCTTCCCTGTCTGCTTCCCCATTGACTTTGCTTGTCGGAATCTGGCAGGGAAGGTTGCAAATGGTAAATTATAACCTTTTTTGTAATGCCTGGACAGGACTTATAGCATTCCTCAATCCAGGTCTGAATTTGCAATGAGAAAATTGAGGAAGACAGAATTAACTGAGCAGTTGTAAGTCTAGAGAAGACGACATCTCATCTGAAGTTGACTTTTTAATTGTCCTTTTACCTTTATTTGTATTTCTATCCCATCCTTCTTCATTAATATCTAATGCAATTATCATTGTTCTTGTTGCTTTTTTCCATTTTGTAAGTGGCTCTTTGAAAGGAACAAATGACAGCAAGAGAAAGACAGGGAGGGAGGTTGTGAGAAGGTTGAGTGTTTCTGGTTTTTTGGTCACCTGTCTCCAGAGATGCTGGAGTTAAAGCATGCTATTCTTTATTTATTTACAGAATTTGTAAACAACCCAAATGGCAAAGCAAGTCAAAATGGCATGTAATAATTTGAGAACATAATATGAAATCAAAGCGAAACCATAAAACAAAGGTTTTTAACATTAAGGAAAATATGAAAAGAACACATATGACATGCAGTCTTCTCCAATACCTCAATACTTGAATGAGAAAGGATGAATTCTAGAAATGTGAATCCTTTATGATTCTCTTCCCTTCCCATTTTTATCATTTTCCCCCCAAAATAAGACCCGGTCTTACTTTCTTTTGGGCTCTGAAATAAGCACTAGGGCTTACTTTTGGGGTAGGGCTTATTATTTTCATACGGGAGGCGGAGAGCGCAGGGGCCAACAGGAGAGGGAGCACTGCTACCATCAGCCCCGCCCTTTCTGTCCCACCATCTGCTTGCCTGCAGTTGCAGCTGCAACAAACCAAACCTTCAGCGAGCTCCAGCCTCCATCCGCCCTGCCTGCCTGCTGGCCCTACTGCTGCTGGGACATTTCTTGGCCATGTTGGGTGCCGTGTGGCCGCCGAGTGGCTGCCCGTGCTGCTTCTGGCCTTGCGCTGCTCTAGGCTGCTCTGCGCCTGTCTGGCGTGGGTCGAGTTGGCCCAGATCTTTCTTTTGATCTCCGGAGTGCCCCCCTGCCACCAGCCTGACAGACCCCTTCGCCAGCAGCTGGCGGTGGAACCATGCTGCCCATGCCTCCGCCTTTGGGCTGCTGAGCGCCAGCCTGACGCCTACTCAATGCAGCAGGCGCCGGGCTATGGGCTGAACCTGGCGTTCTTCAGGCCCTGGCGGGTGCTGCAGCTCTTATGCTAGCTGTGGCCTGTTGGCCTTTACCAGCTGCTGCCGTGGCTCACCTTCTGCTGCCATGAGGTGAGGCGAGGCAGTTGGTGGGGGGGGTGGAGCTGCTTCCCTCCACCTGCCAGACACCTTATGAAGCCACACAGGGTAAGACTGCCGCACCCCCGCTGCCCAAATGTCCTCGCCTCCCCCAAGTGTTTTTTCACTAAGCTGCCTTTCAGCTGCATTGCATTTCTCCGTTCGTTTCTCAGCCTTCACTGTGTGTTTATGGGACTAAAAAAAAAAAGTTCAATCAGACCTTCCAACTTCGTGGGTGACGCAGTTCCATCAGCAGCCGCTGGCAAAGGGCCCTGGCAGGCCAGCAGCAGGAGGGCGCTCCGGAGGTTGAATGGAAGATCTGGGCCAACTCGCCCCACACCAGGCAGGAGCAGCCCAACAGGGCGGCCCAGAGCACTGCAGCCAGGAGGGCAAAGAGCCCCCGCGAGGCCAGAAGCCGTATGGGCAGCTGCTTGGCACCCGCCATGGCCGATAAGTGTCTCAGGAGCAGAAGGGCCTGCAGGCACGGCGGGTGGAGACTGGGGCGTACTAAGAGCTTGGTCCACAGGCACCGTTAGAACAGCAGCAGTGCTGCAACCAGAGCTGAGGTCAGGCAGGGCATGGCAGGTTGCTCAGCAGCCGCATAGCCTGCACAGGCAGCCACTCCTGTTGCCGCCCATCGGCCTGGCTGAAGAGCAGCCCAGCCAGGGCACCACTGGCCCCCAGCAGCAGCAGGTCCAGCAGCCTGGCCTTGGTGCCGATCAGGCGGCAGCGGCTTCTGAAATCAATCCAGGGAAGAATGGACATACTTTCTTCCCTTTTAGCCCCTTCTGAGGTCCCTTAAGAGCCAAACAGCAATTGCTTGAGGAAAAGGTAAGGTGAAGAAATCTTCCTCCCCCCCCCCCCCATAGGCGCTCCCGATGTCAACNCCAAGTGGTTTGCAACCAGACTAGCAGGTAGGTAAGATGTGACATGAGCAAAGTAGAGTAGCTGTTGTTGAGCAGGG